ATACAAGATATTTTTTCACCAGTATAAACTTATAAATCTAGAGTTTAGGGTTTAGGAACATGATAGTTTGAGAAAAAGTCAGACTAGGGTTGCAGGAACATATGTGGGGTGTAGTAAGCAATTTTAATTTTAATTTTAAATTTTTGTGTCCTTAACGGTAATTGTGTACAAGAGTAAAATAGGTTATTTATATTTAAAATTAGTATGAGATGTAAAGAGCAAATAATGGGGTGCCAATAAAATCTCCTTTTTTTTTTTTTTTTTCTCTTTTGAAATTTTTTAAAAAGATTTTAAATGTTAAACTATTTTTTTTTTTAAAAACATTTTTATTTATTTAGATTCACTTGGCATTTTCTCATTGGCTACGTGGTGCATTTCAGCAATTTAATAGAAATTTTTAACATAATCTCATAGCGGGATTAAATTGATATGTAAGGTATAACATAAAGGAGCCATAATATCACAAAAAAATATAAAGAATCAAAATGATAATTTCGCAAATATCAGGAACCTTTGTGATAAAAACCCAAAAAAAAAAAACAAACAAACCTTTTAACCCAAAACCCCAAAAGCTGAGGGGCAGACTTCAATCACTCAGCAAAGTAGAGAGCAGACAGCAATGGAGTCTGAGGTGAGTTGTGCACTCTTTCTTTCGCCTTCTCTTTCCCAATACTGAATAAATTTTCTCGCGTTTCTCAGAAACCAAGTTTCGAACCGTTTCGACTGTTTTCATCATCAGGGTCAGGATTTCTTGAACAATCAGACCCCCCTCTTCCCCCTCCGCCTCCTTGCGTCGAAGTGTTGCCCTCCGAGGTATTTAATTAATTGGTGTATTTTGCAAATTCAAGCACACGCCTAGATAGTTTCGAGATATGATACTGAACAATTGATTGATTTTAATGTGGAATAGATTTTGCCCTCTGTGAAGTACACTGTGGAGCCAGTGGAGTTGGGTGGACTTACTTTGCTCAAGGTCACTCCTTTCTTTTTCATTTCTGTTTGGTTTCCCAGAAAATGGAGCATAGTAAAGAAGAGCTATATAAACGAATATAAAATTTCATTGTTATCTCTATGTAATTTCCTTTTAAGGAAAAAAAAAAAAAAAAGTTGCCCCTTTGAGTAGAAAGTTTTGATAATCTATCAAATTAAGCTTAATCTGAGTGTAAATGGGATGCGTTAGTACTCAAGAGGTTTTCACGCTATCCAACTCCGACTTAGTTCCTGGGAAATATGAAGGTGTATAGAGTTCTTCCTATCTTTTGTTTGCTTTGTTAATAGTGATTCAATAATTAAAAATGACACTAGATTGAGTTTGTAATATTCTGCATTACAAATGTTTTATCTTATTTATGAAATGCTGTTGCACCAAATGGTGATGGTATGTCTCTTGCTTTTCGGGTGCAGGGGGATTAAAGCTATGGGAAGGTTCTCTTGATCTAGTTAAAGCTCTAAGCTCTGAAGTTCAAAATGGACATTTATCGTTTACCGGTAAACGAGTTTTAGAGGTGGGCATCCTAATATTTTCAGGTGAATGTATACTGACCCATAATGCATACACATGTTAACATTCTTCATGTTACTTTGTGTGGTAGTCTAATGTTCAAGTGTAAATAAGTTGACTTTTATTCATAAAGGTGCCTTTGTGAAATGAGACATACGCTTCTCTACCTCGAGCCCTTACAAAGAGAAACTAAGTTTGGCTTCTGGTCGCATTCCTTACTTCATTCAGATTGTAGGGTCTCCTCACTAAGTATTACTCCATTAATTTCATTTTCACACATCGTAGAGGGGAACTCTTGAAATCTCTAGGTGCCTTTTAATTATTACTAACAGATGGCTAGGTCAACCTTTTGGTGCTCTTATATCCTAGCTTGGAACATTCAATTAAGTAAAGAATGTTAACTTGAATGAACTGCAATCTCTTCGTGATACATTACCAAATGGTTTAATGAAAAATAGCCTGAACACTTTAACCTTTGTTAGAGATACACCATGTTATGTTTAGTTGGAGTCCTTGTTATGGGCTCTAACATATAACTTCTGAAGAAGTTACATCCCTTCATTTGAATGAATATATCTCTTCACATCTACAGACACATCATTTAATTAGGTATTACTTGGTGCACCTTCACAAGTCATTCATGAAGCTACATCGTCATTGATCAATGATCAGCATATAACTCATATATCACTACTACAAGTGATTATCTCTGATGAGTGATTTCCTCGTTGGCCTAGAAATTGAGGCCACTGGCTTTTATCTCCTTCTCCCATTTCTCACTTTGCCTTACTGTGTTTCCTATCATGATTTTTCAGCTTGGTTGTGGTCATGGACTTCCTGGTATCTTTGCTTGCCTTAAGGTGAGTTTTTGTTTCTTAAGCTCGTACATTTGTTTTTCATAGATTAGATTTCTTAAGATTCTTCATTGTTGCTCCAGGGTGCAGCTGCCATTCATTTCCAGGACTTCAATGCGGAGGTCCTGCAGTGTCTCACCATACCTAATGTAAATTCAAATGTTCCAAGCTTCCAACCCCCAGCATTGCAAGTTACAAAGTGTGATGCGGGGACGGAAATTCGTTTTTTTGCTGGCAACTGGCGTGAAATCCATAAGCTTCTTCCCTATGTACAAAACATTGAGAAGGATTTTAATGTTAGTACAGGGAAAAGTCTAGATGCTCAGTATGATATTATTTTAATGGCAGAGACAGTTTACTCGATCTCTGCTCTCCCACATCTCTATGAACTCATAAAGAAGGTATTTCTTATTTAGTTTGTCATTATTTATGATTCAGAACTGTGAACTTGCAGCTGCTGTAGGTCTGATAATGTTTAATTTACAGTGCATAACTCCTTCTCATGGAGTAGTATACATGGCTGCCAAGAAGCATTATTTTGGAGTCGGTGGGGGAACTCGAAGGTTCCTATCTGTTGTGGAGAAAGATGGTAAGCTAGTCTGAATTATCTAGAAAACTACTTAGAATCTATCTCGCCGCAGAAGTAGTCTCTTATTTGTTTTCTACCCTATTCCTTTGGTTCATGGGATTGGGTTTAAGGGGATGGAACAAGTTACAGTATACTACATTCATGTATGAGCAGGGTTTTTTTATTGTAATTAAAATGTTCATGGTTCCTTTGTTAAATATATGTTTCTTCTATGAATAGGCATTTTGAAAGCCTTAAAGATGTGACAATGTGGTTATTGACTGTTTGTCAAATAATTTATGTCTATACATTATTGTTTTTGGAAGTAGGCCTCTCTTCTTATAGAGTCCACATCGCCATCCTTGTCTCAGAGTGATATCTTTATAGATGCTTAAATAAGATATTTGAAATAATTTTTATTGGAATTCCTTTCTGCAGGGGTCTTGGCTTCTAGCATGGTCGCTGAAGTTGCAGATGGTTCTTCTAATGTCCGAGAGGTATGGAAGCTTTCGTTTAAGTAGGCATGGAATTCATGTGGATCAAACACTGTCCTTATTTTTTATTTCTCTTTTGCAATCTCCTCCCCTGTGGCCACCAATTTTGGCCACTTACCTCCTATATGAAGAATCAAATATTGTAATCGAAATTAGAAGAATCAAATGTTACAGTTGTTAGTCTATATGCTGACAAGAAGGATGTAGAGAATATTTGGTCATTAGATAATTTCTCTTCTCTAAACTTCTTTTATTTTTCTTTTGATTTACTGTGTCCTATGTAATGCAAATTCTTACTTTTTCAGTCCCAAAATATAAGTTTTTCTTTAATTATTTATATTTAGTTGATTTTTTTATTTCTGGGTTCATCGTTATTGTTTATTTTATTATTTTCGCTGATAAATTATAATTTGGTTGGATGCTGAATTTGTTGTGTTGCAATTTTCATTGAATATAGGTATTGTAACACTGAAATGGCAACTAATATCGCTTTGATGTGTCAATATAACATTGCGCCGAATCGTAAATTCTTGATATCTCTTCATTCTTGAACTTGCACTATGCACTAAGAGCAGTGTAAAGATTTGGATGTGGTTGAAAGTTCATGGGAGAGTTAGTACCTGTGAAAAGGATCCTGTTCTTGTTTATGGATCCATCGGTGAGATTAAGAATATTGAATGTATTTTTCAGCACCAAGGATCCTATACTTGTTTGAAACCACTTCATTTCACTAATATTGCTTGGTCATACAAGTTTAGAATCCAATGACATAATTAGCAGTTAAAAGATTTAACAGGATTGTAACTATTCTGCAAGTCCTAGCGGTCGCATGGGGAACTATTCTGCAGATACAACATGCCTTTTAGGACGCAAACCTCTCAAAGCTTTTAGGGTTTCCACATCAGACATCACCCCTTGTTTGATCATTTCCTCAACGAGCCTCAAAGCTTCACCTATCCTTTTAGCTTGCTATAGCTGTTGAGCAAGGCTTTATAGCAAGAAGCAAGGCTTCCTCGGTCCGTCTCTCCTTGCAAAGAGCATGTATTACAGTGTTAAGGGTTACAACATTTGGTGCAATTCCTTCATCCAACATTCTATTAAACAACCTTGTGGCTTCTTTCCATTGTGAGGAATGGCAGAGGCTATTAATTAAGGAGTTGTAGGTGACGACATCAGGCTTTACACCTCTAAGGAACATTTCTTCCACAAGTTTAATTGCCTCTGCCGTCTTCCCTTGCACAAAGCATCCAACACAGCTTCTTCCCACTTACCAGACTTGCATGAAGCATCAATTAAGGAATTGAAAGTGAAAACATCAGGCTTTATGCCTTGTTTTTCATTATTTCAAACAGAGCAAGTGCTCGTGTCCAAAGACCCATGTCTGGCGCAACACTTTTGTTGATCATATCTTGAAATAGGGTCAGCGCCTCATCTATTCTTCTTTCTTTGCATAAGCGGTCAATGATTGGATTATAGCATTGAGGGACAGGCTTAAACCTTCCATCTTCATACATTTGCTCGAGTATCTCAAGCGCCATACATGTTTTCCCAGCTCTGCACAACCCATTAATTATAGTAGCGTAAGTGATTTCATTGCATGCTAATCCTTTCTCTTCTATTTTCTGGAACAAATCCATTGCCTCAGAGAGCGACCTGTACTCGCAAACCCCATGAAGCAAAGCATTCAAAGTATAAGCATTGGGCTGAAGACCATGTTTAAGGATAGTTGCTAAAACAGAGAAACCCAAGTCCACCCGATTCATACGGCACAAGCAATTGATAACAACACTCAGTGTACTGACTTCCGGGTGTAAGCCAACACAAGCCAGCATCTGTTTATACATAGAAACTACAGCGGAACACTGATTCATCTTGGAGACTGCCCCAAGCAAATGATTAATAGCCCAAATCGAGGGAAGGGGTTTCATTTGAATTACGGAATCGAAGTGACCCAGTGCTTCATCTAACCCAAGATTACCAGATTTACAACGCGTTTTTACCAAATCCTCCAAATCAATGGTTTCTTTAACACTAACAGTATGACAACGATTGACAGCAAAAGAGCAAAACTGGCTTCTGAAAAAGACGAGCCCAAACAGAGAACAGAGAGAAGAAGGATTACCCTTTTGGAGAAGCGTGAGCCCTGGAGATCTTTTCGCCATAATTTTCGTCGTCATCGACCAGCTCCTAACGCAGAGCAAGCAATTCATGATTTTTTTTGGTCGAAAGGAATGAAATTTCATTGCCAAAACATACAACTTACAAGGAGCTCAAATACGAAAAAAACAGAAAAAAGAAAAACAAGGGGTCAAGCATAACAAAACAAAACCCAACCTAAAATACCAAGATAGGAGGGCCAAAACAACAAAAGCCCACAAAATACAAAAACCCCTAAACAAAACAACCCGCCGTCGCCACCACCAGGAAAGTTGCCGCCGCCACAAGAAAAGTAAGTGCGAGGGTCTAGTTGCTTCAATTTTAGGGAAGAACGTTCATTTTCCATTGGTTCATCCATTTTTGCCTGTTGTTGGTAGGGCATCTATATTTATGTTTTATTTTTGACAAAGTGATATTCTAAATTATATTTTGGAAAAATAGCATTACTCTTTGTATATGGGGTGGCGCCATTGTGGAAAAGTGGGTCAAACTTTCCCCCTTACCCAAGTGATAATATTAAATCAAAACTCATTTCTCATCCAAAGCCATGTATAAAGACTGAGTTATTCAATTACCCAATGGATTGCAAACCTTGACTAGTAAAAAATGAATATGTTGATACATACATAACGAGAATTAGGAGAAAGACTTCCATGAAATGAGTATTAGATTTTATTTGTGCCACATCAGCTAAGCAACCAATTTTTCAGTAGTCGTAAGTTGAAGGAATATTGGTGCATTTTGCCCAGAAGAATTTCAAAATTTGTAATTGTACTCAAAATTATTGGGAATATCTTGGAGCCCAAAACATGAAAAAAGTTCAATTTATTTTCAGAAAAAGCTTGGCTCCTTGAAAATGAGGAGTTCCTCCTTACAATTGGTTGTAAGGACTCAATTGTAAATGCCACATCAACCACATATATATCCTCAGAAAGTAAAAATGAAAACTTTTCCTGACCCTATCTCAGCATAAGGCGATCATCTTTAGAAAAATGAATGTTAGCGAAATGGAAAAAAGTCGATTGATACAAAACCCTGTGAGGAGTGTGCTGCGTCTGAGGCTTTGATCTTAAAATTATGCATGAGTTTATTTGGCAAAGTAAATTAATTTATTAGGTTTTCATGACCATGTACCTTTATTTTCTAAAAAAAGAATAAGATCAAAGAGAAATGTAGAACTAAATGCAGAGACATGAAAATTGTAATAAATATGGAAATGCTTGTACAACAACAGGATTAGATATTGTGTGTGATACCTCATGGCTCCACGAGCCATCTTCTGTCTTGAAGAACCGGACTATGTTACTTGTCAAGGCACACCCAACAAATCCAGTGTCCTTAGAAGGATCGTGCAGGAACCTTATCTGCAAACAGTGGGATTGAGTTATAAGATAGAGGCAGAGTCACTCATAATGTCTTAATAGGAAAATAGAACTGTAAATTAATTCGCCTTCAAGCCAGTTGTAGACATGAAGATGCGTCCCATAGGGACCATCAAAGACATGCTGGGGGTTAAAACCTTTTGTGAAAGCAGCAGGGGCACCCATGATGTGGTTATCATTGTCTTGTGTCGCGGTTGCACAGAGGGACTAGAGGGGTCAGGCGGCCGAAAAGTTGGCGGTGGAGGTCCTCAGGCGACCCTATGGCTAGCTGGTGTGCGACCCCGAGGAAAACACCATGTGTTCGACGAAAGACCTGAAGCTCTTGGCCAAAAAGAAGCCTTTTTGGTCCAGACGCATTCAATTTCTTTTATGATGTGGCTAATATGGCACCGTTTTGAGCCATGTCTTTTTTTTTAAGGGTCAGAATCAGAAAGCTTCATTCAATCAATCCCACAACCGCCATCCTGGGAAAATCCATAAAAACTTCCTCCAACTTCATTATATAAATAAAGATTTTGATTCTTTAGAAATTATATGTTGTGATGTGATTCACCAAACCCTAGCTTTCATTTTGTTTGTTTTCTTTTATATTGCTTTGTAGGATTTTGGGGAAGAGATGGAAGGACGTGATGCGTATTTTTCGGGAGCATATGAAGTCCTACTGTTTATTGAAATTTAGGGCAAACAGTTATGAAGAAAATTGAAGTCCCACTGTTTATTGACAATAACTATTGCTAAATTATTGATGTTAACAATGGAAATGAAAACAAAGTGTTATGTTTTCTTCTGCTGGAATGTATTTATGCCACATGCAACTTGGTGCCTTTGAATATGAAATTAATAAGGCTGTGGGAAAGTTTGACACATAAGTTTTTTTTATTTGGTTCACTTTTTATTTTTTTTCATTTCAAAAAAGTCGAAATTTTTACACCACGATCCCATGAAGTAAAAATCATGAATCCGCCAACGCGTGCAAAGATAAAAATGCACTACTGCCACTTGCTCTAGGTGAAAATGTTTTAAATTAGTGTTAATGGTAACTCTAATTTGAACTCTAAAAAGAAATATCTGCAAACAAATGATATTATTATTATTGTTGTTGTTGTTGTTAAGACATCAGCAGTTCAGTTCAATAATTCAATTTATTGAACCTTTTTTGCAGTTATTGAACTGAACTACAGTTTCACTTGCACTGAAGGAGTTCAATCGCTTATAAATTAAAAAATATATTTTTTTTAAATGATCGAATAAAATAAAAATGAATAAAGTTAATTACGATAAGAATTATACAATTAAAATAGTTTCAAAAAGATCTTTAAAAAGAGAACAATTTAAAAATTATTATTATTATTATAAAAAATTAAAAAATAAAAAAAAAAATAAAAAAATAAAAAAAAAACCCTAACAGGAAACTTATCTCAGAGAAACTTAACTCCCGCAATTTTTTTTTCCTATCTCCCTTCTCTGCAACGTCCTCCCCCTCGGCCTCGGGCACCCTTTCCTCTTTCCAGTTGTTTTTCTCTTCTTCCTTTCCCTGCATCTCTCCACCAAAGTGCACAAGTATTTTTTTATTTTTATTTTTTATAAGAGAAAATGCAATTATCTTATTTTGTTGGGTTGATTAAAGACAACTTTTTGTACTTCTTTTGTCAATTGTTTGCTGTAATCCTTAAGAGTCTTTATTTTTTTGGGGTCAATTAATCCTGGGATATTATATTTCTTGTTTGTAATATGAGAGAGTGCAATAGAGGTATTAATTGAGTCTGAAAATGAAAGGAAAACAAACAGAAGACGGGGAAAACAAATAATGCAATCATTACGCTGAAAAAATTTATCAAGATTTTCGCTAAAATTTTATCAACAGAAGAAAAAAAGAAGAAGATATAACCTTTAAAGTTAGGAGATATTAGATATGCTTAATGCGCTCGGATTATGTGAGAACAGCTATGTGAGAACCTTATATGAGAATCAATCTCAGCCGTTGAAATGCATCTGAACGGTGTTGAGACCCAAAAAATTCAAGTTTGAGCATGAATAAATTCCTGGCCTAAAACGACACATTATTCAGAAAAGACCCAATTTGGAGCACACAAAGATCCACCACGCACAAGTCACACTCCGTGTGCCATGCCAAATAAATAATCCGTCGCGCTAGAAATCGAGATTAAGGTTATAAAAATGTGTTTGCTGTACAAATTCATGCTAATTATCCCGTTAAGCATCATAATTAAAAAAAACATGCCAAGCAACATGCCATGCCAAGTGGGAAATCATTATGTCACACCCAACCACACTACAAGCATAGGTGGGCCCAAGCCACTCAAATGCCCGGGGCTTGCTTAAGTTGGTTGTGGTATGGATTGTAATAAGTTATCATGAGACCCATTGATAGGCCGAGAAATGGAGGTTCCGGGTTGCTTGAGAGCCTCGGAACTCAAGCTCATTTCTCAGGCCCAAACATGTGGGTGAGCACAAGAGAGAAAATATCCCAACCAAAATGGTCCATTAAATTAACCCATATAGCCCAATACTTGATGAGATTAGCCCATTTGTTTGGTAAGTTGACTTGCTATCTTAGAAGGCCCATACAATTAGAAATGAGAAGCAACAAAAAGCCTCAGCATTTGGCTGAGAGACAAAGCCACGAAAGGAGCTTGGAAGACCACGTGCACAGGGCTGCTGGGAGGGAAGGAACATGTTTTCAAGCAAAACATCCAAGGTACCAAAAGATATTGGTGCGCAAGGAGCCACCCTTCGAACCAGCATGTATACCCACTTCTTTCCTTCATCAGATCTAACCTTGAAAGAGGGAAGGAAAGAAAGGAAATGGGATGGCTGAGAATAGGAGTTCTTCACTAGGGCAGTTGCGGGAAAGGGACCTTGAGCTCCCAAAATCCCTGATTTTGTACAAATAGGCAGAGGAAGTTTCACCAAGATGGAAAAGTCAGGGGAAGAGGAGAGAAAGAAAGGAAAAGAGTTGGCCAAATTGGATAGAAACCATTAGAGTTTCTTGGAAATGGATAGCTTCCAGCGGCTATAAAAGAGGTCTCTTCTATCCAACAAAAAAAACACAACCAGAGACAAGCTTCCTCTTTTACTTCCAAAACCAGCAATTTTCGTGCTTAGCTCATCTTCTTCCTCCTTAGTTTTCCTTCTTGGCAGGTTGTTCTAACACTTGATAGAACCTCTGTCAAGCTGTCGGAAAAACACTCAAGCCACCTTTTTCTCTCTTTTCCTCATTCCCAAGCAAACCTTTATGCAAAACCCTTTCTCTCCTACCTTAATATCCCATCTTTCCCCTAGAAACACTTAATTTTTTTCTTTAGTGCTAAACTATGACAACTTTGCTCCCATGCCACAAGCCTCTCATGTCAAGTTAAGATTCTACCTGTAAACACTAAGAATTTATCTATAAGCAGCCATTATTTTTTATTGGTGAAGGTAACCGAAGTGTTTCCTAAGGCTTTACTATCATTTCGAAACATTTTAGGGTCTGATCTTTGAACTCAGACACAGGGGATATTTTTTTCAGTTTGCTCCTTATGGCAGCCCAGCCCATTTGTAGCTGCCAGAAGAAAAAGGCCCTTACAAACGGTTTAGAAGAAAAAGCAAGCTTACGGTGCAAACCGGTAGGCTGCAGTTTCCCCTGAGCCCATGTGTACAGTCGCACCTGTTTTGATAAAAAGGCGCCTTTGTTCTTCCTGACAGTCACGCCTTTCTTCTCAATATGAATGAACCCAAATCATAACACCCAAAATTTCACCTACCAGACATAAATT